TCCATAATTATCATAGTAATATATACAAAAAGCACACTCATGGTCTGCGCAGAACGGTACAGTTATAAATAGCACTCGCGCAGATAGTGTGCGAGGCGCGATACGGCACTCGTCCAGTAATGAACGCGTACTAGCCGAGAAACGTTTATATAGTTGCATTCAACGCAAGTCGCGTTGAAAGCAGGTAATTTTTTAATATTTTTTATCAACAGTAAAGTAAATGTGTATATAATATATAAGTAAATACATTACATAATTACAACACAATAAAAAATAAGAGAAATACATAATTATGACAAGTATATAGAAAATGTTGCTACAGTAAAGTCCAGCGCAAAATATGTTTTTCCTTTAATTTAATAATCCACTAACGCGGCGACGAATGCAGTGTATCTTGGCAAGTTTATGTGCTACTGTACTCTAATCTGTATTACTTTTTCTTATCTCGACCATGACTGTCCATTTTGATAAGCGGCTTATCTCAACAACATCCATATCAGTATCGTTAGAATTGTCACCGTCAACACATCGCTTCACGCAAATTTATTTTATAAATGAAGAGATATACTACTTTGGCATCCCAGTGATATTCTTTGAAGGACTTGACATCCTCATTTAATGCTGTATTAAAATATTTCTAGGCGAGATTTGCAAAACCGGTTATACCAGGTCAGACCCTACGTACTGACATGTGGCGCAGCGGTAACAGAATACACTTCCAAACATCTGTCCACGAGACTGGAAAGCCGGTTGTTACAGGTCAGTCATTGTCGTAGAATTTATTAATTTTATTATACGAAAGCGTGATCTTTTTTCTTGTATAAGGTAAATCGATTATCAGTTTAAAACCGTTACATTCGTTGTCATGGTGTTAAAATATAATAAATGATATTCGTTCGAGAAGCGTATAATTTAAAGACTTTTTCCAAAGATATCAAGACTTAATGAAAAAGAGCTAGCTCGTGACTATCTATAGTTTATCTTATTTTCAAATAATTTATATATAATCAGTTAAAATGATACATGTAAAATTATTTTATTCATTATATTGATAATTGTACTTTTATTCTTGCAAGTAACAGATAATTTTACTTTGCAGGCGCTTACATTGATCTATTGGAGGTGAAAATGGGCGTACCGCGAGCAAATCCGTGTTCCGGAAAGACAGAGCTGTCGAGCGACGCTATATTTGCGGCTATCAACGATGCAGTAAAAGAGAATCCGGATAAAGCTAAGAGCGTTAATGCTGTCTTCCTTTACAATATTACCGATGGCGGAAAACTAGCATCTGAATGGAGTAAGTAGCTTGAGAAAATTCTAACAATCTTAAGCCCGTATCAGATTGGCGTTTATGCGTGGAAAATTGGAGATAACCGGGAATATCAGACTATGGATTGAGATTGAGATTAGATTGAAATTTGATCAATTAGAATAAAAGTCACTAAACATTAGATTAGTAAACTTTACTCTCTGGTCAAATTTCAATCTAATCTCAATCCGTAGTCTGATACGAGCTTAAGGAATGGTAAGCTGTACATGTTTTAAAATATGGGGGTGAGAGAAAAATTGTGATATTTAATATTAATCAAGTTAATGTAACTTTCTTTTTTCTCGACAGCCCTTGACTTGAAGAAAGGTGAAGTGTATAAGGGAAAACCTAAATCTGGGAAAGCAGACGCGACGCTCATTGTAGATGATAAAGATATGGTTGACATCGTAAGTTAGCAAAAATGAAAGCATATTATTTTCCTTTTCTCTAAATAACATCGTGATTGTTGCAGGCACTGGGAAAATTAAATCCGCAGTTGGCGTTCATGCGTGGGAAATTGAAAATAACCGGGAATATTATGCTCACGCAAAAACTAAAGAGTGTTATGGAAACTCACAAAGCGAAGTTGTGATTTTTTTATATTAACATATTATCCTTATATTATCATGGTTCTTTAAGCGAGTAACGCAATTTGCGTGATATAAGAGTGCAATAAATTACATGAACTCGAACTGGAAGTATTTGTATGGACTGGGGATATACGCATTTTTATACTAGTTATTGTTTGTTCCAACGGGAACTTTTATAAGGAATTTGTTGCAGTCTGGGGAAAATCTTGATTTTATGTCTTTATATATGTTTGTATTGTAATACATTTATAATAAAGTTATCGCTCGATCGCAATCTAAAAATTTATGACGAAGCGTACAAAACGTAAGTAATTCATGTTTTAGATATATGTATATAGTTATAAAGATTTATATTAGATATATATATAAAGATTTTGCACATATGTATTTACACGACGCACAATAATTCTAGTCTATACACGAGGAAAGTGAAGTATACTTTAGCGATATTGTTAAGGGCAAAATGTACAAGTAAGAGGCACATGAACGTAAGATGCTAAGAAAATCTTTGGTTTAACATAGGTCTTAATAATTCTAATCGTCCAAATGCGTCCTGCAAACTAGATGCATTAGTTTCAAAGGATGCAGCAGAGCTTTCTCGATGGCGGTTTTTTCAGCACGGCTCTAATAGCCTCCACAAAAACCTCTTCGAGACCTTCCTGTTTTATCGCCGAACACTCGACGTATTTGATCGCCCTGATCTTTCTTCTCATTTTGTTGCAATCTCGCGAACTGATAATATCCATAGCTTCTTGATTTCTATGATCTGCCTTAGTACCTAACGTAAAAAGCACATCATGTTTACTAGTAGAGATTACGAGGCAAGTGATAAGAGTATTTATTATATATTTTAACAAATTGCAACATGTGTATAAAATATGTAAAAAGACTAATTGAAAGAATAATTGAAAAGAATACTTTTGAATATTTTTGCAAGCATTTCATATTCATGTTTTTTTCACAAATATTTCATATAGGAAATCTCTTTTTATTCCTGCTCAATGTACAAAACGTATGCGCTTACCCACAAGTACAATCGGTATATTGGGACAATGTGCTTTGATCTCTGGATGCCATTTACTCGCTATGTTTTCGAAGGAACTACGGGCGCTTATGGAGAAACAGACCAGGAAGCAATCAGTCTGCAAGCGAAGAAGAATGAACACAAGATCATACATAAAGGATATCCGAAGGCTACGTTATATTTGAAGGCATTGAAGATGAGTAAGTCAATCTTGTCATTGGAAATAGACGGGTTGTCACGTACATTTGGATACGATAGCGGCCTAAGCTTCTCGTAGTCTTCCTGACCAGCCGTGTCCCACAATGTCATTTCGAACTGCTGTCCACCCACGTATATGCTGTCAACGTAGTTATCGAAACTGCAAGCGACGGGGCAAATAAGATAACAGATTACAGCTATATTCAACCGATAGAATTAAACAAATACTTAGAAAATTCTAATAATCCTTAATGTAACACGCAGGAGAAGAGATGAGATGAGAGCATATAATTGTGCAAGCAAACAAATCTAGGATCTTCTACCAGCAAAGGGTTGCTCTTAATTACGACGCTATGCATTACAGCGCTTACACAGTAGGTACATATTCCGTTGGGAATTCCTTCTTCGTGTACGTGATGAGCATGCACGTTTTCCCAACCATGCCGTCGCCAACGGTCGTAATTTTAATTGGTCTGTTTCGGGACGTCATCTTCGTTTCCTCTGCAATACAAAAGCGCATTAATTACATATTTCAAGAGCTCGCGTCAGCGTTATTTATAGACTGGTCAATGTTAAATTCCGTAATTCACGATCCCGACTTCCCCCGCATCTCTCTTAAAGTATCTGAAGAGAACAGAATTTTTTTTAAACAAATTTTTCCCTTCGACGCAACTCCATTTTTGTCTTCTGTTTGACAAACTACTCGATGCAGTGATTCCATCACTCCTTAAACTCCGAAAAGAAAGCAACAGGCGCATCCGGCCACTGTATGGCACCAAGGCTGTCCCCCAAGTTATGCGTATCGCATACCAATGCAATACGAGACGGCTACTTTATTCTTATCACTGTTAAACTAATGATTGTACCATCTCGCGGTTCTCTCTCTTTATTTTTATATCGCATATTTGTGCGATAGTCCACAAAGGAAAATTTGCAAGTGTCTCTACTCAATTCCACTAAGCTTTAAACTGATCGTAAAAGCTTTGTAACAGGAGACTCGTATATTTCTCAATCGAATACTGCTTCGCAAACAATCGATCTGTTCGGGTTTTAGTCTACGAAGTTAAATACAAGCAAAATTTTCAATATATTTTGCGTGCGTCCGCGTGGCTAAATAGTCACGCGCAGGTTTGAACAAAATCCAAAATGCTGACAGATCCAAATAATTTTTCCGCAGGTCTTTGGAACAGCGCAACGACTCGGGAGTAACTTCTGTACGAAACAATGGGGATTGCAATACAAGAACTCGTCGATACAACCGGGACAATTCTTCCATACAATCAAGCGACTGGAGGAAGTTTGAAATCTCGAGGTGCCTCGTTCGCAAAAACGAAACGGTCAGCTTCCCTTCGCCCAATCATCTCGATTCCACGGCTTTGTGCCTTCTTTTTCGAGCGGATTGATAAGCCCGGCCCTTCCAGTAAGACACATGTATTCATTCACTCCTTGCGCACGGGTTAGCGGAACTCGCTGGTATTTCTTATCGAGTAAGTATGGTCATTATCAAAACGCGCCGTCCGGTCGACTCTCCGGAGTCGTTAACGTGATCTGCCTGAAGCAGGGATTGATAGTACGTCGCGATAATCACTACCGCGGTCCATTCACACACGAATAGATTCACCCGAAAGCTATGGCTTACGCAGCCTTACAGTAAGGTGCCTGACGGCAGAGAACGATCCGTAAACTCTTAAAGACTGTCGTAGACGCAAGACGTTACTTAAGAGTTTAGGGATTGTTCTCTGCCATCGGCCTAAGACTAATTATAAATACGTTTACCTGCGTTCTCATTACACTTATATACCTTGCGCTAAATGTAACAAACTCAGTCTCCTATTATTGTTGCTAGATGTAATTCTCGCGTTATATCGTTGCGGATAATCCTGATATTTTTTTCAGTTATTATACACGCGTCAATTTTTTTTAAATTAATATTCGTTACTTCGTCAACAGGGCAGGAAACGGGGCTACATAACTTTGTGTAGGTTAATCCCGAAATTCGTCAATAATCCATTAGATTTTAACGAAGGGTATTTCTATTTCGACAAAGAGTAATTTAATTTGCTGAAACAAGGCTACGTAAAGTGGAGCTTTTACGAACTGTGAGCAGTTTTCTAGATTATGATTGCTGAATAAATATTGACGAAAGTGAAGGTATCCGCCTCTGACTCATTACGTTATGGGATATGGCAATTGCTTAATTAAAACACGCGTGCGAGTCGGAGTCATGTTTCCTAATTTGTGTTAAGACCCGCCCTGATGACACCGAGGTCAATATACTCTCGTGACAATTTAAGTTCGCGTGTCGACCGCCAGCAGAGAGGCACGGAGAAAATTCATTTATCTTCCTCTCTCCCGCCAAAACGCGCCGTAAACCTTTAGTCGCTAAAAAAAGAGGAAGCAGAATTAATAATTACAACATTGTGGCCCCTCAATGTAATCTCTCTCAACGTCTTAAAAACTTACGAACCACTGATTATCGGATATATTCTGCGCGTTAAAAGAAACGTGAAAGTGAACGTGCGAGAGGAGCCGCGGCATTCCCATTCCTTGCTGTTGTTTATCTTTCTTTGCTGTCCTTACATCGCCACATGTGTCAAACCTAAATAACGCGCGCGATCGATCGACTGCGTAATGAACGTAACGAAGCGGCTCGCATACGAACGTCGATGCGTGCGCGCGGAGTTGCGAGGCTGTAGACCGGCACAAATTTGTGCGAAGGGGAAGCTATCGATACCGTGAGATGGAAACGATAGCAAAAAAAGAGGCGTGAACTCCCGTTAAAATTATATATATATATAAATTATTTATGCGTTCGTTCCACGATACAAACTCAAGAGCCCGCGTTCGTGAAAATAGATAAGTGTAACAAGCTTTGTAATTAGCAGCCGTTGATTAGCGGGAGGAATAATTTTAGAAAATCTCTACATTCTGCCTTGAACGCTCTTGAGCGAGTCGCGTGTAATTTCGTTCGCGCAGACAGACGAAAATTGATACAAGAAAACTGATTGTTCTTAATGCTTTCAGCTTCCTCTCCAAGAAGAAAATATAATATCCCGGGCTGTAGACAGCGGCGTAATCTCATAATGCGATTGTCACATCCTTTAGGCGACAGGATATGGAGCGACGGTCGGCTCTACGCGGTTGTTTATCAGTTCGTTGTCCTATTTCACGCGGGGAATTCTGGAAAACTTATCTCTGTTAAAGCCTTTCCTCTCCACGGCGGACTCGCGCGAGTGGCATTCGCAGTGCGACCGGGTTAAAAATTGCCGCACGAAAAACGGTTTCGCTGGAGTGTCTGAAAATGAAACCGGACGCAAATCTGAAAATAATTACACTGGTCATACACGGAGAAAAGATGCTGTTTTGAATTGAAAAAAGAAACGAAGTTGCCTGAATCAAACGTTAACGTCACGGGCTGCCGCAAGCATAAATAATTCACTCAATTGTATTTGCCATGGATTTTAATTTTGAACCAAGACAACTATCTGATGTTTTTCATTCATTAATACTGATGCTGTTTCAACGATTTTATTTCAACTAGACTAATCTTGTTGATACAACATCATATTTTTTTCCGCGTGGAAATAATAAAAATAATTACTCCAACAATTACATTACATAAAATCTAAAGAATGAGCGATTGCACCATACGCTGGCCGCTGTATACACAACGATATAATACACGTCAAAGCTTTTTGCGGCATTATATCGTCACGCCCAAGCATACCTGCATAATTAACTCGATGATGCAGCGTAATTATTTACAGATCTGTAAGTCTGCGATTTTCACACACTTCAACAAAATCGTTCTTTCCGTGGCGGTTTCTTTTTCCTGCTATCGGGAAAAATCTCGAGAAATTAATTATCACGGCCGTCCGTAAGCTCGTGTGACGTCACGCGAGCGAACGAGCAGGAGAGCAAGTAAAAAAAAAGAACGGATTAATACGCGGGAAAAGATTGTATCTCGTTCGATAGTGTACACCGTGAAAAAAGTGCGTTGCAGTGCTCTCCGTCGCGTTTCATCGCTCGCATTTACGCGCGAGATCGGCGCGCAATTCGCGCATCGCCCGGAGCGGCAAGGCGTTGGGAGTCATCAAAGGTGCGATAAGGAGATAAGATAATTAAAGAATAGATTACACAAGAAGCGACCTGGGCTTAATCGCGCCTCCACGCCGACCTGACGTGTCTAAAAGGCTTTCGTGTTATTCAGCCGCGTTACACGTCGAGACTCTCGTTGAAATTCAGAGAGAACTTTCCCCCATAAATCTCATCGTTTCGTCGATCTTGCCGCGCCGATTTCACTCGATCGCGATCTCGGAGCGAACGATCAGGCCACTTTCCAAGAGCCGCTGGACGGGAATTCGAAAGGCGCGATTTACAAACGCGCAGCGAGATAATTGGTGGCAATTCCAAGTATCAATACGCAGCCGGGTTGGTTCTCTTTCTCGCTTCAAGCACGTTTCTACCAGCCTTTCTTTTCCGACCTCCCCCGATTTCTGAGAGGAAAATTTCAGCCGTTACAAAGTTTACGGAAACTCACGGTCGGGCGCACCCGAATTACTTTCGCGCTTATCACGTGACATCATTTCGGAATAAATCTCGCCTCTCGTCCCGCGGCAGGCGTGCGATGATGAACGTGAAATTACTCACCGTGAGATACGTCACGCGAGAAGTGGACGCGCGTCGAGCGGCCGCGACATTTCGCACGTTCGTCGAGATTCGCGGCTACGGAGAGTCAGCGGCGATATATACGGGAATACACCGAGGCGCGCCGGCGGACAGAAGTGGAGAACGACGGTGCGTGACGCGCGCACGTCGCAACGGTCGTGCGAGGACTGCGAAAATGCCGCGCGCGTTTGCCTCCGCGGCCTTCGTCGCTGCTGCCGCCGGGACGGGGAAGATCAGCTGACGTGGAGTACGCGCGCGGAGACGACGGGAGCGGGACACGCAGCCTGGAACATCGATGCGCCTTCCAGCAGACTCGTACAGCACAGCAAGGTTTCAGCAACATTGTAACAATAATTCATCGCAAGATCGCAACATTGCCCGAACGCTGCTGTAATCTTTCAGCAACGGAATGTCCGCCTTCTGAAATATTACAATGTTATATTACAGCAACATATGTACAATATACGCAATAATACTTTGTGTATATTTGTATCAATATATGAAGAAAAACAATTATGAGCAAATTCCAGATTTTAAAAAGATCGTAGGAGCCTAATAACTATTGAGATAAAATCTCTAATTTTTGTAATTAGAATTTAGCCCATACCGCACCGAAAGATTGCAGAAACATTGCGCACACATTTCACTGCGACACTGTAACGTTGCGTGGAGGTTGCGAAATGTTTCAGCAACCTTGTTGCAAGCTTGAAGCAACATTGAAGCGTCCGCCCACAGACATATTACGCTGATAGACAAATATATAGTATTTGAAACTATAATTGCATAGAAATATGCAATTCCACAACCGTTGCGCCCAGCTACCTCAGCTACGTTTTACACAATTGACTAATCCTGTCCGTCTCGAGCGCTCTACGCTGTATAATTACGGACAATTACGTACCAGACGAGATAACTATTTAACTTTAATTCCAACTTCGTGCCGAAACGCGTCTGCTGATTGATATCTCAACTGCGACATCCTTGAAATTTGAAACATACATTGCCCGGTCCACTTTCGTGCTCGTCAAGATCGGCCTCTTGTTCACTTGTCATTACAGAAATGCCCAGGCATTTCGGGACTCGTCGCCTTGCCGGTTCAATTTCTCGCGCTCGTAAAAAAACTCGAGCGCAAATGCGTCGGCGATAAATCGCGTCCTCGGTGCGCAACGCAAGAAAGATAGACGTTACTTTCGGGCCTCGCGAGACTTTGCCGCGCGGCTCTTTGCATCGACGTCACAATTAGCATTGACTTACGGCGAACGAGACGGCGAACCCGCACTTGAAAAGTCGCCCCGCGACTCAACCGCCGCCGCCATTGGCGAATGTCGCGAGGGTACCGCGCGTCAACCCTCGACTTCCCATCTACATTCGAGTGAACGTGGGTTGGCTCGGAACGGCGCGCGATTAAGCGGAGAAATCATTCCCTTCCCCCCCGTAGGAAACGAATTCGATTCCTCCACAAGCACAGCCGCTCGAACGAGCGAGATAACGTTTCGCCTCGAGCCGCGTTTCGCGCGGGGCAACCGAACGATATATTGTCGCAAAGTGTCGACGAGGTAATTTTGTCAGGCGACTGTCCGGCCGCGTGGCCGCTCGCGATTATCTCCCGAATTTTGCACTCGTCGACTCGACGCGGACACGCGTCGTTTGATATCAACTTACTTAACTTAAGAGCCACTTAACGCGCGTTGGAAGAAGCGATATTTACGCATTGCGCTTTGATTAATTTCCCCGTTTCAAATAATAGAGTATTGATTACATTGGATTACGTGCGATTTCAATGTAAATTAACAAGACTCTCGTTCACGTTGAAATTGCGCGTAGTCTGATTATATTTTAAGCAGGTCGAATACGTTTAGTTTGCACTTCGTCGAAACGTTTAAATCTGTTTCTGTTGTTTTAAGGGGGAGAGATCGATTATAGAACGAAGGGATGGAGAAGGCCGCGAGCAGCCAGACGAATCCCGAGGAGGTCGAAAACTCGGGATCCGAGATCAATTCC